CAGGTGAGGATTTTCAAACTCAGTCTGAAGAGCCCATCTCTTGCATTAATTCACCGCAATGCAAGTTGACAATAATGTATAGCTGATCAAGATGAGCGATCAAGATCAACGGTAATATAGCTTCTTCAGCTATATATACAAGAAGACTTGAAGACATGAAGTAGAGGCAAACACAACAAAAATAGAAGAGCAAAAATTCGAAATATCCAGTTTGAGCTTTCATGAGAAATTCTTAAAGTCCTTAGAAGAGAAATTTATTTTCTCTAAATCTTATCTCTACTGTGTGTAGAAAGAGGGTTGAGTGTAGCTGTGTGCAAAACACTACCCTGTTGAGTGTAGGATTGTGCGAGACACTCGTGAGTGTAGCTGTGTACGAGACACTCGTGGTTGCTGACTGTAGCTGTGTGCGAGGCACTCGGTGTTGCTAAGTGTAGCTTTGTGCAAGACACTTAGTTGGTGCAGGAGTATAGATTTGTGCAAAATACTCGGGACTATAGCTTTGTGCGAGATACTGGGGATTGAGTGTAGCTGTGTGCAAAACACTCGGGAATTGCTTGTGTAGCACTTGATTCACTATTTGTATCTGGGTGAACGAGATAGTGAATTTCCTCCTTGGAGTGAAAGGAGAAGAGTGGACTAGGAGGATTACACCACCTCTGAACCACTATAAATTGCCTCTCTCATTTACTTACTGCTTTTATTTATTATTGCATGCATACTAACCCATTTACTATTCGTCTTATTTATTTATCTTATAAATAGGGAGAGGATGTGACACCACGTAATCCAAGTTCAGTTAAGGGATTAATTAAGTAATTAATCCTAATCCAATTGATAATTTAATTCCTTGAATTCCTGAAAATTCAATAGTCGGGGACTAGTAATTGACTAGTCAACCCCAAAGTCAAGTGTTGTACCTAAAGCTTTGTGAGTAGTTCCATTGTTCCCTTATACCTCTTCCTTTTAGTAAGGGTAATAAAGACATTTCACCCTATGTTAGAATTGCAAGCTAACCTAGAGGATCACCCTTCATTCTTTCCCCTTACACTTCCTAAACTTGAGCTCCTCCTTCTCTCTAAAAGTTAGATAGCTTTTCTTCCAAGCCAAGTTGAAGCTTTACCAAATCCTCAAAGTTTGTCTTCAAGATTCCACCTTTCCTACCTTTGAGCATCTAGGAGGGAAAGATCTATGTTTATCTTGTGTTTTTAGTGTTTTCTAAGGTGTCTTTTCTTAAAGGTAGAATCTTTATGATCTTTTGGTGTGTTCTTGAAGTGGGTGTGGAAGGTGAACCTTATTAGGAGCTTGGTGAAGTGTTAAGTGAAGGTTTTTGTCTACAAGAGGTAACCCATGCTCTACAAAATCTATTTTGCTTACCTATATGATGATTTATTGGATTCTACATATGTTTTGCTATGAAATGTGAGTGTTGATGCATTGTCTTGTGAAAATGCATATCTAGAGCTTGTTATTAGGGTTCTTGTATGCCATTGCTTGGCTATTCCTTTGATCCAAGTCATTTTGTTGTATTTGGTGAGATTTGGCATGTTTTGGACTTGAATTTGAGCTTGGAGTTGAAAATCCCCGAAGGGATATTTTTGGTACAAAGTTGGTACCCGCGGGTGGAACGGCGGGCAGTGGCCTACCCGTCGCCCCACCCGCGGGGTACATGGTGGTATGGGTGTGGTACCCGCAGGCGGTACCACGGGTGGGGGTCTACCCGTGGGCCCACCCGCGGGGTACATATGTGGCTTGTGCGGGGATTTGTTCCCCATGATTCTTTTGACTCGGTATTTGGTCTTTTGACTTCCCGATGTTCTTTTATGAAACTATTTGAGTGTCTTCTTGATGTTTCGTATGTCTAGAACTAAATGGTAGGAATCCATGTAGGTTTTGGTGTTTTGAATCGTGCTAAGTGTTCAACCTTGTAATTCGTTGAACTATGATGAGTCTTGTGTGTTCTTCGGAACTATGTTTGGTTTACCCGTTTGATAAGCATGCTAGTTCGGTGTTTAAATGCTAGCGTGTGTGTTGTTTGTCATTTCCTATTGTGGATGATGACTTGTGTTAATCATCGTTGTTGTTGGACTGTGATCCATTCCTTGATTGAGTATGGTTTCATATCTTCGTTGTGATCCGTTGATTGATTCCTGTTGTGGTGTGGTGTGTGTGGCTGTACCTGGATTGCACGATTAATGGTATGGGACATTAGTCACCATGGTACGGCAGTGGTCCTCGTGGTGGCCATGACATGATTATGGAGTTTGTGACCCGTGTGTCGGGTTCACATATTTCTTGGGAGGCATGTGTTGCCATGTGTGTGATCGGTACCCTCGTGTACTATGAAATCGGTGGAATTGTTGGCGGTCGTTGGCGGATGGGGACGACGGTCCTCGGAGGGAAAAGGTTGGACTTGGTGTATAGGGGTCTTGGAGGTAAAGGTTGGAACTAGACATAAGGTTGGGGGTAGCCATAAGGTTGGAACTGGGCATAAGGAAGGCATCTCAATTCGTGATGGGTGATGTCAAGGAGGCTTGTGTAGCCGTTGTTGTGTATTTCTCTATTTGTGACATGTGTTGTCACAAAGGCATGTGTTGCCAATGGCTGTGTCCTTAATCTCTTGTGTTATGCATGTCGGGTGTTAATCTACTGTGTGATGGTAGATTATGCTTTGAGTCGTTCTTATGAGTCGTTATTGCTTCTTGATGTCTTGGGATGTGTTTTCTCTTGTCTTTATTGTGAGTGCAAAGAGTCTTGTGTTGATCTCTATCTTGGTTTTAAAGTGATATATACTATATCCCGTTTCGAAATGATTATATATATATAAACTATCTACATATGATATTTCACATGTATTGGTGGGTTACCAGCATCATTCGCTGACCAGGCGTCGTCCCATATATATATCTGTGTTTCTTTCAGGTGCTGATTAGATGAGGTCACGGTCTAGAAGCTGTTAGAGTAGATCCCCTTTTCTTTATGATGATTTGGGCCTGCGTGCCTTTGATTAGACTTTAGACGTTATGTCGTTGACTTTGCTTTTGAGATTGATAGATTATATTGCAAATGTTTACGCCTTTGCGTTCACCGTTGTGTGAGCGTGGCATGACACTCTACGTTTTCCATCTATTTCATATCTAGTCTTCCGCTGTGTACGTCTAATGGTTAGTTTATCTGCATGCTTAAGGTTTAATTTGGTATGGAAATCGGGGGTGTTACATGTATTCTAGGCCTCCTTATGCCTTTGATTTTTTTTTTTTGGTCATTCACCTTCGTAGCCAACCCGTACTACCTGACTTTCAGCTAGTGTACTCTAGGCCTCCTTATGCCTTTGACTTTTTTTTTTCTTTTTTACCATCCTTATCTGTTGCTAGCCCGTACCACATGGCTTTCAGCTAGTGTACTCTAAGCTTCCTTAGGCCTTCAATTTTTTTTTTTCCATTTGCCTTCATAGCAAGCCTATACCACCTCGCTTTCAACCAGTATACTTTGAGCTTCTTTATGCCTTCGTTTTTTTTAATTTTATTTTATTTACATAGCCTTGAGTAGTTGGTACCCTTTCGACCTTCCTCCTTGGTTGTGGTATCGACCTTGAGGTTCTAATCTTCCCTAGGCCGACTGACTGAGTAGTTCACGAAGGTCCTTGGAGTGTAGATTTCCTGAGTTAGCTATGGTTGTATTGTTTGGTTGATTGATATTTTGTGGTCAGGTATAGGTTGCAGGTTTTGAAATTGGGTAGAACTAAGGAAAGGTACTTTTTGTAACGGCGCCACAAACGGTGCCAAAGATGATTTTTATTAGACCAAGCCTACCATAAAATTGGGTTGATATCGAGTAATGGGTACGGAAAACGTATTGGATTGACAGAGCCCAAAACCCTTAAAATAATACAAATGAGCTACAAGTGTTCTAAATAAACAAGTGGGACAATTTTCACCCAAGGGGCCTAACTACAAAGCCCAACCAAAGGGGATGGATTACCATTAACTCATAATCCAATGTACAAAGGTAGAGAAACAACAATCTCACCCAAGTGCCTCACACAAGGTACGTACCCAGTCTACAAAGGTTTAGTGGATTGTTGAAGTCAAAGAGCCACGCATGCAGAAGTCCAATGAAATCCCTTCAATTGGAGAGCTAACTCTGATGCAGTCCGCTTCAATGACGCAGTCCCACGTTGTTCCCACAACTGAGTGATCTTCGCGTCCTTTCGTTTAAGCAACGATAGTTCTTCTCAAGTTCTTCATCATTATCACCAAGAACTCATTATCTTGAGAAGAGGCATGATAATCAAAGATATGTGTCTCTATGTAGCATGTAGTGTTTTCGTCTTCTAAAAACCATAACCCTAATTCTTGACCGAATAAGGATACTTATACTTCCTTGGTAAGAACACTCACCAAAAATATCTTTGATTGTAGATGGTAGGACATATTGTGAAGAATGTAATCTTAAAGATTCGGTCCATACCTTCCAAAACAGATCCACTGATTATTTTTCCAAAACTGTCTTCTCAAACCGCGTTCAGCATTTTGGAAACATCTTCCTTTATCAGATCTTCAGTGTCAGTGCGTCTGTTGATGAACCTGATCAATCAGTCTTCTGTAATAACAAACAGACACCAAGCTAAACCCTATCTTAGATTGCCATAATAATATTGCCAATTATATGTTGGGGGTTTTTTGGAGAAAATTAAAACACTAACAAACTCCCCATTTGGCTATTATTAGGCAAAACAACTCGACTAAGATAAACCAATAAACTAGGGATAAAAAGGAAGATAACTGTTGCATAAAGGACATAAGTCTAAATTACAACCCATAATAGAAATAACACAACACACAAGTCGTGCTGGACAAAAACAAGTAACATTCTTCACAAAGCATGGGGCCATCATAAACACACGTCCAGACAGGGCCAGAAGATACGAACAGTTAACACACAAAAAACTCCCCCTGAGTTTAGGCACTCCCCCTTTTTGCCAAAGAAAGACAAAGGAACATTTAAGCATTCGGACCTTCACTGTCAGACATCACATTCTCAGCAGCAGCAGACTCAGTCAAGCTCAGACGAAGCAGAATAGTCGCAAGTTCAGTACGGGTTGCATTTAGTTGATTCGTGATAATGCCATTCACGGTTTCAAGCTCAGACACACGAGCCTTCAGACAGAGGGATAGCTGCACATCTCTAGCATGTGGCAAGTCTTCAACATTAGGACAAGCTTCAGATGATGATGGAGCAAGAACTGGTGTAACATCCCGGATATACTTGCCAATCAATAGTCGCGGATCAACAGTATAGAGCAGAGATGGAGTGATAATCTCGCTTGACATAGGTACCAAGCCCTGCGATGTCAGAATGCCATAAATGAGATTTGGATAAGGCAGTGTTACCTTCTGTTCCCTTAGATGAATGAGGATGAGAATATGATAGAATATCCATTTTCCCAGATCAATGCTCATCTTGGTGCCGATTCTGAACAGAAGCGCAGCCAGTTGCTTGCCGACAGTATGAAAGTGTGCAGATGGAAGCCAATTGTGCAGCGCAATACGGTGTAGGATAACATACTTAGAGGTGAACACCGAGCTTGACAAGGTGTCAGGATCACCTGTAGGCCATACTGGAGACTGACCACCAGTGAGAGTGCGTGCAACCAAATTCTAGTCCGTAATCTCTTCTTCATCAACAGCCTTCAAGCCATAGTAATCATTAATCATGTCTGTACCGAAAATGTACCACTTTCCTCTGATGAAAATCTGCATGCACTGGGTCCCCGTAAGGTTGTCAATTTCTTCATTCAGATTACAGTAAAACTTGTAGGTCAGCAGCTTCGAGTAGGGGCAAATTGAGGTTACAGTCTTCATGAGGCCAACCTCACTCAGTAAGGGTAAAACATCACAAACAGAATTTAATTGATTCTCATCAACTGATCGCTGAACAATGAGTTCGCGTCGCACCATAGTCGACCATTTGCCTTGAGCTGTAGCAGAAACAAACTATGGCTTGTAAATAGTGGTGTCAGGACTGTCAGAAGCAGCTTGAACATCAGGAGTGACACTCCTTCCTCTTGACCTTGTAGAAGCTTTCATTTTTCTGGTAGCAGTGGTGGAAACAGTCGCAAGGGCCTTATTCTTGACTGATGATCTCAGGGTTTTAAACACATGTTGCACAGGTGGGTCACTTTCAGCCTTAACCAACTTAGCTGATCTTCGTCTATTCTCTGGTTGAACAGAATCAAGATTGTCATCACCAGTTTCCACAGACACTTTTTCTGGAATACCTTTGCTCTTGGATTTCCTTGTCTCTCTAGCAGGAGAATGATCAGTAGGACTTGGAGAAGCCGAATTGCTTGTCTCAGACACTGGGGTAGATGAAGATGCAAGTAGCTTGGAAACATCCCTAATCTTGAATGTGGTGGAGTCTGGATGTGCTGTCTCTTCCACTGTAAGGGATCTAGTGGGACCAGACGATGGGGCTTGTGGACCATAAACCTCAGCTAGGATTTTCTCATCATCACTGTCTAGTTGCACAGAGGGATCATCAGGGTGGATAACTCTATATGGTTCAGGTACAGAAGCAGAGGGTAAACCCGCAAAATGTCGGATGTGATCAAGACTTTCAGCCAAGGTAGAGGATGTATAAACTGGAACTCCATTAGTCGAATCAGAGGGACAAGGACTTGTAGGTTTGACAGCTTCAAGTTCAATAGACAACTAGGAGAAACATCAACCGGTGACTTAGCAGCATCAGATACAGGCACAACAGAAATTTCAGATCGCGCAATATCAGCAGAGTAAACAACCAGACTCAAATTTTCTACCTTATCAGATTGTTGAACTTTTTCTTCAGACTCACTGTCAAGGGCAACTTTTGTAGACTCAATTTTTTAGGAGATAAACGATGAGGATCATCAGACACAGAGGATTTCGTAGACAGTAAAGCATTCTCATTATCAGATTGTGCAATAAACAGAGCAGACTCAATATCATTAGAAATTAAATCATCAGGCTTATCAGGAGAAATCTCAATAGGAGTTTCAGAAGTATTAGACCTGTTACGAAGAATCTCAATACGGTGTTTGGCTTCATCCTATGCAGCTTGAAGGTAGAGAGGTTGAGCTACTTCCCGTCGACACGAGACTTCTTCGGATTCCAGAGCCCTTTGGGCAAAATATTGGAGGAAAGCCCCAGCACGGTTTCCATCTTCAGGCTCAGGAATGGACGCAGGGCTAACATCATCACTCGCTTCTGAGTCCAACATCAAAAGGTCACTTGTATCATCGTCGGACCAGTCCGCATAGAACTCCGGGTAGTCTGAAATCACTGTGACTATGATTTTGTCACCGAGAGAAGAGTCAAGCTTCAACTTCGTTTTCATTGCAAGTTGGAGAAGAGTTTTTACATGCTTTATAGCTATTTTTGCTGAATGGAGTTTCCTTCCCAGCTTGATGATAATATTTCTCACTGCATAGTTGTGCGATTTGGGAATGAGAAGAGAGAAACCCTAGGTGGAGGATCAGAAAGCAAATAACAGAGAGCAAAGTAGTATTTAGGACTCTTCTTCCATCAAAATAAACTCGATCAAATATATAATCCCAAGGGTGATGAACACTATTTAATGCTGCTGTCAGAATGCATGCAGCTGATGTGATTGATGCAACGGTATAGCTCCTTTTTAGGGATTAAACGGAAGATTTGAATTTTGAAAAGGCGAATTAATTTTGGTAACCAAGGTTAAGATATTATCTTAACATAAACAGAAGAGAGATTAAAAAGGAAGTCAAAGATGTAATTTTGACCCGTGATTGAGACCACCATACACTCTCCTTCTGTATTACTATTCTGCCTTATTGATCAATCATGCAGATTCCCATAGCAGATCTGAGAATCTCAAACCGATTTGCGTCCAGAGGCTTAGTCAGTATGTCAGCCAATTGCTTATCTGTTTGAATATATTCCAACTCTATCTCCTTTGATTCTACTAAGTCTCTGATATAGTGATGTCTTATATCAATATGCTTCGTTCTGGAGTGTTGAACTGAGTTCTTTGAAATATTTATTGCACTGACATTGTCACAGTAGAGTGTCATAGTCCTTTGTGTGAGACTATAATCTAGAAGCATTTGCTTCATCCAGACCAACTGAGTGCAACATCCTCCAGCTGCTATATATTCTGCCTCTGCAGTACTTAGAGAGGTTGAATTTTGTTTCTTGCTTAGCCATGAGACTAAATTCTTTCCAACAAAGAAGCATCCACCTGATGTATTCTTTCTGTCATCAATATTTCCTGCCCAATCAGCATAACAATATGCACTCAGGTTGAGTTTACTGTCCTTGGAATACCATAACCCATACTGAATTGTGCCCTTGATGTATTTCAAGATCCGTTTAGCAGCTATCAAATGTGACTCTTTGGGATCAGATTGATATCTTGCACACATTCCAACACTGAACATTATATCTAGTCGACTTGCGGTCAAGTAGAGCAGACTTCCAATTAGGCTTCGATAGACTATGTTATCAACTGATGCACCAGTATCATCTTTTGATACCTTTGTAGAGGTGGAGATAGGGGTCCTAGGAGTTTTACATGACTCCAGATCGAACTTCTTGACCAAATTCTTTGCATACTTTTCTTGTGAGATAAAGTAGCCTTCAGTACTCTATTTAACTTGAAGTCCCAAAAAATAAGTCAGTTGACCAACCATGGACATTTCAAATTCTTCCTTCATAACATTCACTAAGTCATCAGTATATTTATGTAGAGTAGATCCGAAGACAATATCATCTACGTAAATCTGGGATATAGTAACATGACTTCCAGTGGTTTTAACAAACAAGGTCTTATCAACACTCCCTCGATTATACCCATGATGCAACAGATACTGTGTCAGATGTTCGTACCATGCCCTTGGAGCTTGTTTAAGCCCATAGAGAGCTTTTCTGTGCTTGTAGACATGCGTTGGATGAACTGGGTCTTCATATCCTTTTGGTTGTGCCACATAAATATCTTCATGCATGTACCCATTCAAGAAAGCTGTCTTAACATCCATCTGAAACAGTGTGAATCCCATAATACATGCTACTGCCAATAAGATTCTGATTGACTCCAGTCTTGCAACAGGAGCAATCGTTTCATCATAATCAATTCCCTCTATTTGGGTATATCCTTGAGCAACCAATCGAGCCTTGTTTCTTGCAATATTTCCGGCTTCATCAGTTTTATTTTTGAAGATCCACTTCGTTCCAATTATGTTAACACGGTCAGGTCTTGGTACCAGATCCCACACATGATTGCGGTCAAACTGATGTAGCTCCTCTTGCATAGCCTTAATCCATAGATCATCCTGCAAGGCTTCCTTCACATTTTTTGGTTCTATTTTTGAGGTGTAGCAGGCAAATCCGAATATTTCTATCAGATTGCTTCTCATCCGACTTTTGGTGTTCATTCCATCTGATGGATTACCAATTATGTTGTCTAATGGATGATTTTTCTGAGTTCTGGTGGGCTTATTCTTACCATCACCATCCGAGAGAGAGTTCTCTTGTTCAGGGCTTTCTTTATCTTCTTCTGATGAATCATGTGTGTCAGACAGTTTGGTTTTCTCAGCTGTTTTTAACGGCTCACTGATAGGAAGGTCTGTCTCTGGATCAATCACCGTTGTTTCATCTGATTCTCCTGGGTTATCATCGATAACAACATTCACTAATTCCATGACTGATTGAGTTTGTTTGTTGTAAACTCTATAAGCTCGACTGTTTGGAGAGTATCCAAGGAAGATGCCATCATCACTCTTTGAGTTCAAACTTTCCCCTTTGTTCCCTATTGATTAGAACATAGCATCTTGTGCCAAACACATGAAAGTATTTCAGATTTGGCTTCTTCCCTTTCCATATCTCATATGGTGTCTTAGTCGTACCTGGTCTGAGATAGACTCTATTCATTGTATGACATGCTGTGTGCACTGCTTCAGCCCAGAAACGCTGCGGCAGATGCGATGCATGTAACATCACTCTGGCTATTTCCTGCAAGGTCCGATTCTTTCTTTCCACCACACCATTCTGTTGTGATGTTCTAGGAGCCGAGAACTCATGAGCTATTCCATTTTCGGAGCAGAAATCTGAGTATAAGGGGTTTTCAAACTCTTTCCCATTATCACTTCTCAGTCTTTGGATTTTTATAATGGGCTCGTCCTTTTCTTTTTGTACTCTTATGCATAGAGTCTTGAAGGCATTGAATGCCTCAGATTTTTCTCTCATAAAGTATACCCAACTGAAACGAGAGAAATCATCTACACACACAAGGATGTATTTCTTTCCGCCAATGCTTTCAGTCTGAGTTGGTCCCATAAGGTCTATATGAACTAGTTCTAGGCATCTCTCAGTAGTAATTATCTTTACTACTTTGTGAAGAGTTCTTATTTGCTTTCCAATGGCACATGCACTACAGATTCCTTCTTGTTTTATTTTGAGATTAGGTATCCCACGAACAGCATCTAATTTGATCATTTTGTCCATATCTCTGAAGTTTATGTGACCCAATCGTCGATGCCACAGTTTTGATTCGTCTGTTTTAGATATGAGACAAGTAGTTTCATTGGTCAGAACATAATAATTGTCAGAAGATCGTGTTCCTTCCATCACCACTTGATATGCTTTATCACGGACTCTGCAACAGTCACGATTAAAGCACACATTCCAGTTCTGATCACACAGCTGGCTGATGCTAATAAGATTTGCTTTCAAACCACTGACTAGGAGAACTTCGTCCAGATGTGGCAATCCTGGTACATTTAGAGTACCTTTTCCAACTATCTTTCCTTTTTGTCCGTCTCCATATGTTACTGACCCACTGCTGGGTTGAACAGCCATGAGACAATTGACATTCCTAGTCATATGTTTGGAACATCTATTGTCGAAATACCATCTTGCTTCAGCCATAGAAGCGGTCAGAACTATTG